CCCCCCCCGGCGCCCACCCCCACCACCAAGGCCTCCTTTGCCCTGTGAGAAGCTCCCACTGGAACCTCCACAGCCCAAAGAGCAGCCGGTTCAGGAACATTCACGGGGGAAGGCAGAGACGGGACAGGGGACCCTCCCTCCCCGCAAGCAGGCAGCACCCGCTCCAAGGGCAGAGGGAGGCCGCAGTGACTCACTGCCCATTTGCAGACAAGGAGTCCAAGCACTTAATGCGACACCCCCCCCCCAGGTATTCAGCCAGCAATTACACGCCACCAGGGCAGCAGCGGGTTTTTCTCTCCGATCAGCTCCAGGCGAGCTAGGAAAAGTGAGGAGATTTTGAGGGAAGGGGGGGGCTCTTTGCAAAGGAGGCACGGAGAAAGGCCAGGCCTCAGGCGGCGGCTGGGATAGACCCCCCCCCCCTGCGTGCCTGATCTACTCAAGTGTGCGGCTTTGGGGTAAAGAGAGGAAGGGCAGGCAGGTGTGTGTGTATTTTGACAACAGTTGCCAAACGGGGTCAAGTCCATCCTGAAACGCGACCACGAGAAGGGAGCCCCGGCATCGCAGGAAATCCCAGCCTGGATTCTCCGGGCCGGCTCTGTTCGGGTCCAGTCCCAGGCCTCAGAAGGGCGGGGGGAAGGAAGGAAGGCACCATTGGTGGGAGCTGGGGAAGAGGAGCGTCTGCTCAGAACCGGGTCGCAACGGAAAGGGCGCAGTGAGGGAAGTGTGGAAAGTGCTCCCCCGAATGCCAGCGCAGTTCCGCCGCGAAGCCGACCACCGACTTGATCCCGTATGAAGAGCGTGAAAGGAGGGGAGGGGGGGAGGCAGCCCGGAAGGCAGGTGGTAGAGCCCAGGGAGCGTGGGGCGGGCCAGCCAAGGACATGTTGTGAGGAGACGCCAGAGGCAGGGCACTGGGTCAGCCCCACGGCGGCCTCTCGTGAGCGGCAGGGCTGGGCCGTAGAGGGACCGCGATGCACAGCGAAGCCTTCGGTGCCAGGGTGCTGCTCATGTCTGGGCCAGTGACAGCTCCTCCAAGCCCTCCTTCCCCAGCCGGTACCGGGCCAAATCCTTCCTGGTGACGAGTCCGACCACCTGCAAGGAGGGAGGGAAGCACACGGTAAGAGGTGGCCCAAATGGACCTCAGGGGACGACCGCTTTTACTCCCAGGATACTCGGGGTGGGCAGAAGGAAGACCACATCTGCCAAGGCCCGAGAGGAGAACTCTCTCCAAGAGGAGACTTTCGTTTCTGCCGTGTCTTCAGTGTTATCTGTGTAACTGAAGCTTTCGACCTTGAGTGCCTGATGCCGTCTTTCTCCTGGGAACTACAGCCCGTTACTTCGGCAGGCTTTTACCTGGTCTCTGGCCCTGAGCCTTTGAATAATGTCTATCAGCTTGCTACATACACACTTTATGCCAGTTCTAACACGAGGTGGTTAAGACATTTGCATACTATCAATGTCTCAATAAACCGTCCTTCTTTGAATGAAAGCCGTTGGGAACTGGTTGCTGCAGGAGTCAGACGACGAGCTCCCAGGACAGACTGAGGGGGCAGAATCCGGTGTTAAAACACAAGGGGGACCCCTCATCATTTAAAGGAAATAAGTTTACATTGGGGTGCCCCTTAACTGGGACCCCAGAGCAGCTTAGCACACTGTTCCACCCCCACCCCCACCCTGCCATGGAAGCGCACTGGATGACCGTGGGCCAGTCACATTCTCTCGGCCTAACCTACCTCGCAGGGTGGTGGTTGTGAGAAAGGGGAGGAAAGGAGAACAAAATAAACAGCTTTGAGTCCCACATTGACAAAAAAAAGAGAGAGAGGCAGGGTATAAACCAAGAAAATCATATAAACCGATTGCAGAGCCCTTCTTGGGGTGAGAGGAGGAGGAGGAAGAAGGAGGAAGAGGAGGAGATTGGATTTATACCCCATGGCCCTTCACTACACAAAGGAGTCTCAGAGCGGCTTACAACCTTCTTTCCCTTCCCCTCCCCACAACAGACACCCTGTAAGGTCGGCGGGGCTGAGAGAGCGCTTTTGAGAACAAGAGGGAAAAGCTCTGAAAGAACTTGTGAACGACCCAAGGTCGCAGCTGCATGTGGAGGAAGATGCGGGGAACCACTCCGCACTCCTAATCCTCTCCCCCGCAACCCTCCCCACCACCTTCACTCACCTGGTTATGATTGTCGACCACCACCAGGTGGCGCAGGCCCAAGGCCCGGAAGAGCTTGAAGACTCGCGGGAGGGAGGCCTCCTGTGGACACAGAAGAGAGGCTGCGTCCGGTGGAGAAAGGGGGCTCCCCTCCCAGCCAAGACAGGGGCGCCCCTCCCAGCCAAGACAGGCCCGCCCCCCCAGGGGATGCCACCACAGGATCCCCCACCCCTTCCCACTACACCCCCTCTTCCCAGACGTGCCCCGGCCCGGCGTGGGTGGGCCCACCTGTGGCACCGTGTAGGGTGAGGGGTTCATGAATTCGGTCAGGTCCATCATGCACTCGCGCTCGTCCTGAGACACGTGGATGGACTGGATGGGGGGGAAGCGGGGGTAGGCGTCCCGGAAGTCCTTCAGCTTCAAGCGGCGGTGCACCAGGGAGAGGCTGGTGCGCTCCACGAAGACCTGCGGGGCGGAAGGGGGAAGGGGTGGCCCGGGGCGGGTGGCGCGCAGAGGATAAACCTCCACCCCACCCCTGGCAAGCTTCAAATCCCTCCCCCCCCGGGGAAGAAAGGCTGGGAACCCTGCAGTAATCACAGAGCAATGGGCCCAGAGAAGTCAGCTTGGAGAGGGTTGCCAACTGATCGGAAG